GTACTGAAATAAGTGGTAACAGATAGTTTTGTGATAAGATAAATTGTAGCGAGCAACAAGTAACAAAAGTAAATAAAGTGCAGCAAGGTGGCCCAATCCTTTTTGAAGCAAAGGACAAGCCTGGACAAACTCTTATAATAGGAAAAGCGCTCCCGAGGACACATGGGAATATCGTCAAGCTAGTTTTCATCACGCTCATATGATTCGCGTTCAGTAATTTGATAATTTGATATGTGGGTGGACCGGTGCTTGGGTACTGCCCTTACTTGGACAAGCATCCCACTTATGATTAACCTCTATTACAAGCATCTGCAACTACAACAAAAGTATTAAGGTAAACCTAACCATAGCATGAAACATATGTATCCAAATCAGCCCCTTACGAAGCAACACATAAACTAGGGTTTAAGCTTCTGTCACTCTAACAACCCATCATCTACTTATTACTTCCCAATGCCTTCCTCTAGGACCAAATAATGGTGAAGTGTTATATAGTCGACGTTCACATAACACCACTAAAGGCTAGACAACATACATCTCATCAAAATATCGAACGAATACCAAATTCACATGACTACTTATAGCAAGACTTCTCCCTTGTCCTCAGGAACAAACGTAATTACTCACAAAGTATATCCATGTTCATAATCAGAGGGGTAATGATGTGCATAAAGGATCTGAACATATGATCTTCCACCAAATAAACCAACTAGCATCAACTACAAGGAGTAATCAATACTACTAGCAAACTACTAGCACCAATCCCGGACTTGGAGACAAGAATTGGATACAAGAGATGAACTAGGGTTTGGAGATGAGATGGTGCTGGTGAAGATGTTGATGGAGATTGCCCTCTCCCAATGAGAGGAGCGTTGGTGATGATGATGATGATGATTTCCCCCTCCCGGAGGGAAGTGTCCCCGGCAGAACAGCTCTGCCAGAGCCCTAGATTGGTTCCGCCAAGGTTCCGCCTCGTGGCGGCGGAGTCTCGTCCCGAAAGGTTCTCCTTTATTTTTTTCTCATCGAAAGACTTCATATAGGAGAAGATGGATGTCGGAGAGCCACCAGGGGGCCCACGAGGTAGGGGGGCGCGCCCAGGGGGGCGCCCCCACCCTCGTGAGCAGGGTGTGGGCCCCCTGTCCTTCATCTTTGGCGACGATTTTTCTTTATTTATTTCAAGGTATTCCGTGGAGTTTCAGGACTTTTGGAGTTGCGTAGAATAGGCATCCAATATTTGCTCCTTTTCCAGCCTAGAATTCCAGCTGCCGACATTCTCCCTCTTCATGTAAACCTTGTAAAATAAGAGAGAATAGCCATAAGTATTGTGACATAATGTGAAATAGCAGCCCATAATGCAATAAATATTGTCATAAAAGCATGATGCAAAATGGACGTATCAATGGGTTTTGGGGGGCTGCCGCTACCCCTAGGGAGGGAACCCTAGATGGGGGCGCAACCCCTCCCCTTCCCCTATATATACTTGAGGTATTGGGGGCTGCAAAACACACGAGATGAACTCTCCCAAGGCGCAGCCCTACCTCTCCCTCCTCGTCTCTTGCGGTGCTTCGCGAAGCCCTGCTGGAGTGCCACGCTCCTCCATCACCATCATGCCGTTGTGCTGCTGCTGGACGTAGTCTTCCCCAACCTCTCCCTCTCTCCTTGTTGGATCAAGGCACGGGAGACGTCACCGGGCTACTCGTGTGTTGAACGCGGAGGTGCCGTCCGTTCGGCACTAGGATCTTTGGTGATTTGGATCACGACGAGTACGACTCCCTCAACCCCGTTCTCTTGAACGCTTCCGCTCGCGATCTCCATAGATAGATCTTGGTGACTCATAGGAAAATTTTGAATTTCTACTACGTTTCCCAACAGGTAGGCACAACTGGCAACACGTGGCACCTGCCGCCACGCCTGGAGGCGGCTGCCCGGGTATAACATGTTTTGTGCAGCGCTTCTCGCCGGGACAGAATGGGCCAGGCCAGGTGAGCCCTACCGCCACTCGAGGAGGCGGCCAGCCCTACAGCTGCCGCCCGCATGCCGACAGCACCTGATGCACGCCAGACGAGATGGCAGGCCACTCCGCCACTCCTTCAGGCGGCCGCACTGTAGCTGTTGTTGCATGCCCGATAGCGTTTGTTGTGGCAGACAACGATGACTCCCATGCGTGGATGAAGCTAATTTCCGCGGGCGGGAACCCAATGTTGTTTCTTCTATATTTTGTGCCCACTAATTCGTATTTCCTCGGGAATCACTCACTCCGCTAGCTTTTGCTTCAGCGGACGCGGTCGCATCAGTCACTCAGTGTTGCTTTTGCTTCAGTGGACGCGACCGCATCAGCGTGGATATTTTCCTTTTCCATCACCAGCTTCTTCTGTTGCCTTGACCTCATGAGCCCTTTCTTTCTTTAGGCGGGAATCACACACTGCTTTTGATCGGTGTCATATGCATAGAAATTAGTGGCAATTATCAAACAGTGGGCGGCACCGCAGCGGAATCAGTGCGAGAAACGATTCCCGCCGAACGGCATGCGAACCAGGCAGAGTAGAGTGGATAGTATACGCAGAGGAACAAAGAGAGTGCGGAGGAGCACCGCAGAGTGTGGGCACAAGGCGTCAAAAATTCACCTACCGTACAACATCAGATTCCCGCCCGTGAGGTGCGCCACCCCTCTGTTGGTGCGCCGAGCTAGAGGACGCACCATGGTGTCGTCCAGCGCAAACATGGCGCGGCGTGCCTGCCATGCGAGGCAGCGGACGTGGGAGGCGGCGACAACCCTAGAAATGGTGGACGTTGGTGAGGCGGAGTCACATTCTTCGGCGCCCCGTATGGTGCACCAGTGCGGTCGCGGCAACCGCGTCGTGGTGGACGTCGCCGGCTCCTCACAGGACGTATCCATCATCGATCTGTCGTCAACCGGCACCATCAGGGATCCAGGGAGTAGGGCATGGGAGATGGCGGTGCCTTGAGTCCCGTGAGCCGGCTCGTGTCCCATGTCCTACTCTACCTCGTCGACGACCGGACGAACATTCTACGGAGCGCAACCGCCGCCGGGCATGGGCATGGCGGAGCCGGACGAGCTCCGCTTAATACTAGGTTTATGTTGCATGTAATAATATGGATTTGAGGTTTTCAATTTGAGATATCCGGTTATAGAATGGATTATTTGAGGCTTGATCGGACACTGTCGGCGGATGTGCACGGACGCGTTCGCGGGCGTTTGAAGGATCGAATTTGCCAAGTTCAACCGTAGATGCTCTAAGACCGCACACAAACTATTTATCTTCATGTTGTGACAGTAACAACAGCCATGATAAATTACCGACCTTTAACAACGGCAACACTTGCAACAACGAAACTTCTCTGCTTAACATTTGCAACATGAAAAAAAAGCATTTGCGACATACTCCCTCGGTTCCTAAATATTTGTCTTTTTAGAGATCTAAAATAGACTACTACATACGGATGTATATAGACATATTTTAGAGTGTAGGTACACTCATTTTGCTCCATATGTAGTCACTTATTGAAATCTCTAGAAAGACAAATATTTAAGAACGGAGGGAGTAAAATTTATCTGCTATCAGTAATTAGCAACAAACATAGGGTGAGAACCGACGCTTGCAAGTTGCAACAATCTACTCCATACGGTACCCCGTACTGTTTGGCCTCGCACACGAGCCGACGAGAATGGAGGAGACATGCGCGTGCGTGCACCGTGCGCCGTGCACGGCCACTAGCTCACCCCATCCACGCGCCACCGGGGGTCCGCTCGGCCACCGGCACCATCGACGAGCTCCGCGTCCTCCGAGGAGCCGAACACGAACCGCGCCCACTCCCTCGCCCGAGCCTCCACCTGCGCCTCCGCCTCGCGCGCGCCCCCGCCCGCCGACGCCGACGCGATCACCGCGGCCACGCCCACGACGACGAGCAGGGGGGCCAGCAGGGACACCAGCTCCGCCGCGCCCTCCGGGATCATCCTGCGCGCGCCGACGGGAGAAGCCGCCGCCTGCTAGCTCCGAACGAACCTATGCGCGTCGGGGAATGGCGGGTGTGCAGGCATCATGCAGCGTGGTGCGTATATAGGGGCGCCGCGCCGCCTCGCGCTAGCTGGCTGGCTGGCTGCTGCTTTCTCGTGCAGCGCAACCGCCAACCAGCAGCCATGCATCGTGTGAGCGCGGACGCAAAGGCCTCGGAGGTCATTTTGCTTTCGGGCCATGAAACGCTTAAAGCTACGGAAGAACTGTACTGGGACTGGGACTGGGAGGAAGAAGAGGATTTGTTGGTGTACACTCTGCTCTGCCTGATAGCTTTATGGTTCCCTGTCTCCGTGGGAATTCCAGTCCCGGCGCTCGTCTCGTGGGGTTGTGGTTGGTTGGGGATCCGGCGGTTGAGCCCGCTCCACAGCAGCCAGCGCCTCCCCTTTGGGCTTAGGAATAGGAGCAAGCTGAATCTAAGACCGTCTCAAGCTTCTTATCAAATCTTGCAGTTTAAAAATATTCACAACTAACCGTTGGTTGAATTGAATCACAACTAACTGTTGGTAAATTATTTTCTACTTTCAACATAAAGCAATTCAAGGGAAGTTCAGTACAGAGCAGAATGAGATATGTAAATAATATAAGCTCAGAATATACATTTTTGTAGGTAGATAGACATGAAGCAGTCAAATCACACAAGTTTGCTTCTTACACACACATCTAAGCAAACCACTGGAGGAGCAAAATCAAAATAAAACAACAACAAAGATAGAAGCATAGCTGAATTTCATCACCACTAATTAACCATTTACATATTCTGATCTCGACTTAGGATTATTCAAGAGATAATTCAGTACATAGTGATCACCAGATAATTTTCTTTTCCGAACCATGGCAGCCAATTTCCTTAACACTATGCTTTCAAGTTTCCACTGAATGTTGTACAAGTTTACTGGCTACTGCAGAGCCCTATAGCTCAAAGAGAGAGCCTTCATTTCTTTCCACGATGTCTCCTTGACAGTCCTACTCAAGAGCTGGTGCTACCTCAGTTGGATTACCTTCAAACACATCGGCGCCCGATGATTCTGACTCTTCCGGGAACTCCTGGGCTTGGGTTGATTCCTTGAAAGCAGGAGTGTCTCTGAAGTCTGATGCCCCATCGTTATATGTAGCCACGGCAACGCCACAAGCAACCAACTGCACAGGTATGAAAAGGAAAATCAGTTCCATCGCATGGGAATTAACATGGTTACATGGATGGATTAATGTGATGATCTAAGTGCATGGGATAACATGGAGAGTTATCTCTACCAAGTCCGCAGCTCGCTCGTCCGCTCCCGCGAGCGGCCAGGCGAAAACCCCAGCCTACCGCCGCAGCCCCCCTCCACCCCCGCCCCCCTCCCTCGCCGCCGCCAGGGGACGGCGCCGGGCAAAGCCCGCGCGTACGTCGGCGGCGGCGGGGCCCTTCCCCTCCCCGCGAGGCGCCAGGACGGCGCGGGACGGCCGGCTTCGCGGCGGGGCGCGGCCCGACGACGGATCTCCTCGGGTCGGAGGCGCTCTACGGTTGGCTGCAGGGGGAGGCTTCGTCGGGCGATGGGCGGCTGTTTCCGCGGCTTGCGGCGTCGAGCGGCGCGTCCATGCGAGCGGATCTGGTGCGGCGCCCGGGAGATGGCGAGGTGGAGGAAGAGGGCGCCGAGAGGGGTTGCAGTAAAGGAGGAGGAGGGCGCGGGGATGAGGGCCGGTGCGGATCTGGCCGGCGTAGGGCTGGGGAGCGGTCCGACGGTGGCAGTGGCGCGGATCTGGCGCGCTGCCTCCTCGAGGGCCCGAGTTCCACCCCGTGCTGCTCCTGGCCTGGCGCGAAGGTGGGCACCGCGGAGGGTGGCGTCGGCACTGCACCGGGCGGCGAGTGGAGGGCGTCGAGGACACTGATGGGCTGCGCTGGATCTGGGAAGGCTACGCTTGCTGGAGCAGGGAGGCTCCAGCCGTGGTAGACGCGGGATGCGGGGCCCGATCTGGCCTCTGCATGCTCGCCGTGGGGAGGTGGACCATGCCTTCACGGCTTCAACAACAAGGTGCTGCGAGAGACGACATGGACGAGCTCCGTAGGGCTTGGGCGGAGGTGTGCGACGATACGGACGAAAGTCCTGCACAACAAGAGCCGGTGTCGATGGCGCCTGAGGGTGTCATTTTCCTCCTTGGAGGCGCCACCGAGGTGTGTCGGCATCTTCCTCGAGCTTGGTTGGTAGTGTCTCTGGGCGAAAGCCTAGGTCCGGTTGGATCGGCGTGATGACAGCGTCTCCGACGTCGTTCCTCTGTTGGGAGCATCACGTTTTTGAGACACTGCTTGGAGGTTCTATGTGGCGCTTCTCCGGTGCTCGCCGCTGTTTTTTGTGAAGCTCCAGGCGCAATGTACGCCATCGCTGATAAGTCCAAGACGAAGCTTTTTCTAGGACCGACCGAGTTCCGCCATCTGCCTGCACTCTGCTTCAAGGGTGGATGGTGCGTTGACAAAGAAAGTCTTAGTTGGAGCTGCTGCTGTCTTCGGAGGATACCGGCGTTGGTCAAGTGACGCGGCGGTGACGCTTAGCCTAGGACAGGCCCTTTTTGCTTTGTAGTCGCGTTGGCTGTGATGGTAGCTCGGCAGCTAATAGGGCTGTCGTTTTCTTTTTTCTTTGATCTTCGGATCTTCATCATGTTGTTCTTCCGCTGCTTCCTGCTAAATCGAATCAAGCCAGCATTTTGCTAGATCTTTCAAAAAAAAAACTTATTGAGTGGACATCTGCAACAATAGGTGGTTAAGTTGTCATAATGCCAATGATCAAACACCAGGAATGTATACATAGCAATGTAATCTACTCCCTCCGTCCCATAATATAAGATCTTATTACATCCAATTTACTCACAAATTGGATGTAATAAGGTCTTATATTATGGGACGGTGGGAGTAATAAAGAAGTGATAAATTATCTCTTGTTAAACAGTCAGCAAATGTAAATAAATAGCTTCATGAGGAATGTGTAACAGCTCCCGGATGCCCCTACACAGTACCAGTAGAGAGTTCAACGTTTTCTGCAATCTACGCACAGTACCAGTAGAGTTCTAGCTTCTAGGCATTGGAAAGGATTTACTCTTTTGGTTCAGATGAGGAAAATAATTCAGTAGCTCAGTGTACTACAAAGAGTGTTTACAACATGAACATGGAGCCCTCGCTGCTTGCAACTAGTATTATAAATGATTTAGCAAATAATTACTCGCGATCTAAGCAATTTTAATGCCAGTCCCAGCTTGCCGAATTCAAGGGATTCCTTCATGCTGACTTCCACTTCCTTATGTGGAAAACATTTCAAAGTAGAGCTATTCGACTGCAAACCAAATTTCTCTGGTGCCGACATCTCAAGAAAAACTGAATATTTTCCTTTGAGAAACTATCAAACTATACAGATCCTACGTCACAGAACTAATGGAGGAGGAGGAGGAGAGGGTGCTCACAGAGAAGAAGACGCCGAAGGCCCACATGTACTGCACGAAGAAGCCGAGGACTTCCATGTTGGGCCCCTCCCAGAAGTCGGGCTTCTCCGGGTCCGGCAGGTACGGCATGGGCTCCGTCGACACCTCGAACCCCAGCGGCTCCCCCTCCCACTCCACGCCCTCCCACGCCGGGCCGGTGTCCTCGTCGGCGTCGGGCGTCTCGACGCCGCCGCGGCGCTTCTTGCCGCCGCGCTCCTCGAGGCGCCGCTGCGTGCGGGACGAGACGCCGGTCCGGCGCGCGAGCGCCACGTGCAGCGCGGCGCGGCGGCCCGGGAGTGGGGCGGCGGGCGGGAGGCGACGGCGGGCGGCGGTGGCCGCACCGAATGGCGTGGGTGAACTGAGGAGAGACATGCGGCCTGGTGGAGCTGGAGGCGGCAGTGGCTCTGCGCGACTGTGCGCGCGCGGGGATGTGAGGTGCTGACCGAGAGCTGAGAGAGGTCACGTGGAGAGCCCGGAGCGGGGAAGCTCTGTGTGGGAGAAGATGAGATAAGATTTTTTTTCCCCCTCTTCCCTTTTGTTTTTCAGTTAAGTGATTAAGTGAAGGCTTTACAGGTGCACATAGGCCATTATATTTTTACCCCGTATGGTTGCATCAATTAATTCAGATTGAAGGGATTATATTTTCTTTCTTTCTATTTTGCGTTCAGTAACTAGTATTTTTTTTGTAACAAGAGGGAGGTTCACGAGGCGCCAAGATCAAAGTACAAATTACAACATGAATAACAACACCTGGGCAAACTAACTATGGGAATGCGGCTAAAGTTGGACAAGCGGTTTGTCTATGAGCTAGTTTGATGCATGAAACAGGTTTCATGCTTATGTTTAGAACCCGATGAGCACAGTCGTGCACAACTCCATTGAGATCCCTTTTGATAGGAAAGATTAAGGGGTTGAACTGTGTGGAGGTTCAAAAGAACGCAAGAAGGTGTTCCTTAATGTCCCAACGAGTACGAGCAGAATTGTTATCCTTGACTGCAACAGATTTGGCCAAAGATAGGTTGTCTGTAAAAAAAAGTAGGCCTCTGAATGTTGAGTTCTCTAACAATGACTACAAGTCTACAACTAGATGCAATGCTCCAGCTTCAGCCACAAGCAGTGGAGAAGCTTGAGGCATTGTGGCTTCAACCATTATACTGCATGAGACTTCTTTATCATGGATTTGAATATAAAGGCCTAATCTTATTGTTGGAAGGTGCAACCTTCCAACGACCTTAGAGCTCTTCCAAGAAGCATCTGAAAAGATCATTGGCCTCACAATAAGATCTATAGAAATAAAGCAGCGTTGGGAAGGCAGAGCAGGGTTAGAGTCATTAGAGTTATTTTCTATCAAGTGGTTAGTCCTTCTCATCAGAGTAAGTGTTGCAGGCAGTGATTGCATTCTCCATCTAATGTACCTAGTGGGGGGAGAATTTTTTCCTGTAGAAAAGACGATCATTTTCTAGCCTTCCAAAGGCACCGTAAGAAAGTAAACAAGTTTTCACATAGTTGTATGGGTGGTTCATAAAAATTAAATGTTTTCACTTAAGAAAAGTATTTACACGTGCACATAGGTCATTTTTGTTTTACCCCATATAGAGGGGCAGGATTAGCTTTTTTTTCTTTCTATTTTGTGTTCAACAACTAGTTTATTTATTTTTTTAACAAGAGGGAGGTGCACGAGGCGTCAAATTCAATCAAAGATAGATCAAGTACAAGTTACAACATGAATAACAACACCTGGACAAACCAACTATGGGAATGCGTCTAAAGTTGGACAAGTGGTTTGCCTATGAGCTAGTTTGATGCACGAAACAGGTTCCGCACTTATGTTTAGAACCCGATGAGCATAGTCGTGCACAACTCCATTGAGATCCCTTTTGATATGAAAGATTAAGGGGTTGAATTGTGTGGAGTTGCAAAAGAATGCAAGAAGGTGCTCCCTAATGTCCCAACGAGTACGAGCAGGATTGTTATCCTTGGCAGCAACAACTTTGACCAAAGATAGGTTGTCCGTATGAAAAGTAGGTCTCTGAATGTTGACCTTCCTAGCAATGACTGCAACTAGATGCAATGCTCCAGCTTCAGCCACTAGCGGAGAAGAAGTTTGATCCATTGTGGCTTCAACCATTATACTACATGAGACTTCTTTATCACGGATTTGAATATAAAGGCCTAATCTTATTGCTTGAAGGTGCAACCTTCCTACGACCTTGGAGCTCTTCCAAGAAGTGTCCAAAAAGACCTTTGGCCCCACAATAAGATCTGTAGAAATAGAGCAACATTGGGTAGGTAGAGCAGGGTTAGAGTCATTAGAGCTTATTTTCTATCAAGCGGTTGGTCCTGCTCATCAGAGTAAGTGTTGCAGACAGTAATTGCATTCTCCATCTAATGTACCCAGTGGGAGAGAATTTTTCCTGTAGAAAAGACGATCATTTTCCGGCCTTCCAAAGGCACCATAAGAAAGTAAATAAGTTTCCACATAGTTGTAGGGGTGGTTCATAAAAAGTAAATGTTGAATTATGATTGTCCTATTGTCATGATTGAATGCAAAGGTACCAAACCTTAAAATACCAAAGGCTACAAAACTAGGCTACATTAGCAAAAAAGCATACAAGGAAGATGAGCATATCATCGGCCACGCCTGCAACAAGTTTAATTTATATGAACTTTGTACATGCCTGCTCTAAGCCCATTGGGGATAGGTTTCCTTAATAGCCTCCAAGCAAAGGTTTGAATTCTTGACGCCAAAAGCTTTTGCTTCCAGGCCTGCTTAAGAAGATTTTTTACCTGTGAAGAAATTTGTCTTTGTTGGTTGTTGGGGAGATTTCTGGATTGTCTTCAAGTAAAGTTTGCAAGTGCTCTTTGAATTGCATTGGCAAGAAGGGGTCAAATTCCAACACAAAATATCACTACCATTGTCCTAGAAATTATGACTTTGAAAGTGCATCTAATTTCATTGGTGGATTTTGGTAATTAATGTCAACATATCTCAAGAAACTAATGCCTCATACAAATTATTTCAGGAAAAGTTCCTTGTGGGTGCAACAAAGGAATAAAAGGTGACCCCTGCAAATTGCATCAAGACAAGTGTTGGCCAAGTCTAAGGACGTCATTTTAGTGGTACAAGATCACATTGACTCCATAGGCAATGACATTACTATCAAAATGGGATGAAGATGTTGTGATCAGTTTAGTTCTCCATGTGCTTAAAGACCAAACTTCAAAATCCTCAAATTCCTTCAAAGATTCCTCCGCTATATCTACCTAGTTCCATTCACTTCGGAGCTTCGAAGATCTTCCAGTCGGAATCGCCGAACTTTTCACTAGATATAGTTGTTGCATAACTCTTTCCATTCAGAGCTTCCAAATGTTAATTTAGAATCATCGAAGCATCTAGAAACCTTTTCTTGACATGCTAGTCGGAATTTTTGAGGAGAAAACCAAAGTGTGTGCCATTGCAGAAGTGTACCTCTCAAAGCCTACGAATGATCTTTGGTCGGACCTTCTAAAACGTCAGAAAGTTGTCTCCTTTATTCACGTAGGAGCTTCTGAGCCGTGTAATAAAGTTGGTAACAATTAGAGTTCTAGCCCCTCCTATTTATGCCCCCGCCTGTTCACTCAAAGCAAACTTCACTCACATCATATGTTCTGAGAGAGAACTTCACCTCCTTATGCTGATTTCAAGGGCTTTCTACTCCAACCATCCAGGTCAATCCTTTGAGATATAATCTCCTCTTGCTTTCTGCTCTTTCCTATCCAATTCAAAAGCCATCTTGAGAGAGTTTGCGTGTTTAGGAGTTTATCTTTTGAAGCACGAAAGCAAGGGATTCATCATCAAGTAATCTCTATCTTGTTACTTTTGGAGGATACGCACCTCCTAGATCGGCTAGGTGCCACTGATGAAGGACTCAATAAGTTTGGAAGGGCTCAAAGATCGTCTACTTTGTGAATACGTACCCTAGTGAGGCTAGTCCTTCGTGGGTGTACTTCATTGTGAAATAGGCCGGTTGCTCCTTAGTGAACCCTTCGTTGGTGATAGTCCTTTGTGGACCATTCCTTCCTAGAATCTCACAATCGAAACCCTTATAATTTTAGACCCTTCTTGAGTCAAAGCCTCCATCAACATGGATGTAAGATAGTGTCAACTATTCACCACATGAAAAATCTTTACCGAGCCAACCCTTGTTTGTGTATCTCTAACTCTACTTGTTTACTTTCACTTGCATGTATTTACTTTCCGCTGCTTATACTCTAGCAGGATTATATTGGCATGTATTACTTTCTTTCCGTTGCCTATACTCTAGCAAAATTGCATGTCTGGGTGCTTGATAGAATGTTAGAAAAACCTAAAGTTGACAAAAAAAATCTAAAATTTAAGAGAAGTGTCCATTTTTGGCTCACTAGTCTATTCACCTCCTCTTATCGATTAAAGTGGTATTCAAGCCTTGGTCTCCTTAGCAAGGTGCTCCTTTAATGAATCATTCGTAAGTTGACCTTTTGCTTTGACTTAACCGCCTTGAAGAGTACGACGTCCTCTAGTTATGAGGAATCTTCTTTGTAGAGTTTCTTTTTTTTGGAATACTTTTCATCACAACCCAGCACTATGACTGGTTGTTTTTGCTATGGACTATGGCATCAAAAGCCTTTTAATTCAAATTCATATTGGTTTTCACTCCAACTTCTTTTTGTTCTTGCGTTTTTTTTTGCATGGTAAAACATGTCTCATTCATATCGTACAAATCAAAGTATAAGTCACGTAGAGACCGACATTACAAAAGTGAAAAGACAACACAACGTCTCTGAGCTTTACACCAACGCCCGTCACCTGCCTCCGACACCACCACAACAGCTACCAAAGGAAAAGAAAATGACAGATCACCTTCTATCTGAGCTCGATGCCGCTCCATCACTGATATGCAGCTTTGTGAATCTCCAAGGTGGCTCACCAAAGGTGAAGCCATTGTCATTGAACGAACCAGTCCGGCGCAACAACCTGGACGTGCCATCGAACTCCAAATCTGTCACCCCACCATGACTAAGACGCCGAAGGAGGAAGCCATACCTACCATCCATCAACCATGAACTTAGCACACGTTCCGTCTTTCAGATGTTGTCGATGCAAACCACAATCTGCATTCGCTTCTGGACTACCTTCCAAACTCCGCGCCGAAGCTGGAGCACATGCCGTCGCAATGGCGGAGCCTGAGGACACAAGTCCACCATCCCCGCTCGAACGTTGAACGGTCTAAAAACCTAAGCTACTAGGGCCCTAGAAGCTACGTCTAAAACGATCCGCACGCGCAGGATCCGGCGACATCCTCACCACCGACAACCAAGAGGTTGCCGGTGGAGGGGAGCGTCCGGAAGACGGC